CCAATTTAAATAGTCATTTTGAACTATCTATTTGATGCCATTTACAAAAACCATCAATGAAACGGTTTTGAAATAGTATCACATTATTTGTTTGTCAACCATTCTATCACATTATTTTATCTACAGTACTTATTTTCGATCATACATTCTTCAATAAAGTAATACTATACATAAATAAAAAAATTCATTATTTTTTAACTACGCATTTCAACATCAATCACTATTCTATAATACACTTTTTGAAATTAAAGGAGATAAAAAGTGATGTAATTATAAAATTATAACTTTTGAAGTTTTAAATTAAACCCTTGTTTGTGTCTCATTTTTAGTTAAAAATGTATTTAGGAATACTGATTTTTTGGAGAATGTGTGATCCAGAAAAAAATTTCGATTAAGTGTAATATCATTTTATTAAAATATATGTGGTTAAAAAAAACAGAAAAATATATTTTTGAAAAAAAATTGAAATCAAACAAGAGCTAAATATAGACACTTTGGTCAATAAGCACTTACCAACAATAGCCCACATTTGATAATTATACCAATTTAATCCATTAGATTGCTCGTTGATATGCCAAATCCTCATCTTAAATCCAAAATGCGTACCGAAATCCATTAGTGAGATTGTAGAAATTTTGATGGGACATATCAAGTTGTGTTGTAACTCACAAACGATTCGGTTTCAATTAATAATTTGATTTTTTGAAAATATTTAACATTTAGTGCTCAATTTGGTAGGATTAAAATTAAATTATTAGTAAATTTTGATAAAAATTGATAAACTATTCGATTAAAATATTGTGAATCCTATACAATATATAACCCCTGTTTGAGCCTCATTCTTTTAAAAATATATATTTTTATACAGTATTTTGATATCATTTCAATCACATATTTTTCAATAAAATAAAATTACATGCAAATTCAAAACTTTTCCTTATTTTTTAAGTACATATTTTCCATCAATATATTATTTAAAAATTTATTCTTATAAAAAGAATGGGACTCTGACAAGGATATAGTTAAAATTAGTCGTAGATTTTCATTTAGACCCCGTTTGGTACACATTAATGTAAAAATAAAAATGAAAAATATAATCGTTATTGGATCCACACAAGAGACAGAATGTTAAATATGATGATTTGATATGATGAATAGCGATCATATTTTTTTTATTTTAATAGACAAATAATAAAAAACAATCAGGGGCTTATATTCTAAGATTCTAATCATTATCAAATAGGGACTTTTAATATAGAAGACAACATATAATTGAGTGTACTTATCCAGCTATTCCATTGCGGTGGGGTATGTGGCCTACTAATGTTGATTACAGCTAATATGAATTCAAAATGGGAAGAGATAACCCACGGGAGAAGGATAGGACAAAATTTGTGAGAGAGAGTATCTTAGCAAAAAACGTCTATGAATTTTGTTGCATTGACTGTATTTACGGAATGAATTATTCAAATAGTCATTAAATTTTGTAAAAAAATTTTACGAGGTTATTGAACTTTAAAAATTACCCGATTCATTACTGAACTTTGAAAAAAGTTTATACAGAATCACTTAATTTTAAAAACCATCACATTCATCATTGAATTTCGTAAAAGATTTTCATGGGACCACTGAACTTTGTAAAAGGTTTCCCAAGAGTCACTAAAGGTTTTCCAGAGGTCACTATAGGAAACCTTTTGCAAAATTCGGTGATGAATTAGGTGATTTTTAAAGTTTAGTGATCTCGTGGAAATATTTTGTAAAGTTCAGTGATGAAATGGATGATTTTTAAAGTTCAGTAATCCCGTGAAAACTTTTTACAAAGTTCAGTGACTATTTGGATAATTCACCCGTACTTTGTGTTTATTAGCTTGTTTGAATTTCATTAATTTCTATTTTATTACATTTCATTTTTTGTATTTTATAGTCAATCACACAATCTTTTATAAAATAATATTATACGTAAATTTAATGCTTTTCCTCCCTTTTCAATAACTCATTTTTCAAAAATACACCATTTCACCTATTTTCATTTCAAAAATAATGGAGGCCAAATGGGGACTTATAGGAATAAAACGCAAATTGTTTAACATTAAATGAAAGAAAGAAATATTGCCAAATTCACTTACATTTCTCCAAGGAAGGGGACACGTCGCCTTTGCATGAAACAGGGACGGCTAATCCTTTTGACTTTGATTTCGTCTCGTCCCTTTCTTTTAACCTTCTCTTTGCACTATATATACACACACACGCCACTATACACTTGTCATTCATTTTACAACACAGACCTAAAAAAATTTCCCCCTTCTCTCTCTCTAGATCCTCCATAGCTAATTCAAAGCAATGGGGAGAGCACCATGTTGTGATAAAAGTGGTCTGAAAAAGGGTCCATGGACACCAGAAGAAGATCACATACTCATTGATTATATACAGAAAAATGGGTATGGAAACTGGAGAACTCTTCCAAAAAATGCTGGTTGGTATAAGTATATATGAATCTTATCTCCTCTTTGTTTTCATTTTTACGAGTTTTATATATGCTAATGGGATTTTGTTTTGTAGGGCTGCAAAGGTGTGGAAAGAGTTGCAGGCTCCGTTGGACTAACTATCTTCGCCCTGATATCAAAAGAGGAAGATTTTCTTTCGAAGAAGAAGAAACTATTATTCAACTCCATAGCATGTTGGGAAACAAGTACGTTCTTCTTACAATTAAACTCATTTCTAAAGTTTTATCTTATGATGATGGTACAGGTACTGAAGTTGAACTTTACAGGTGGTCAGCTATTGCAGCTCGTCTACCAGGAAGAACGGACAATGAAATCAAGAACTACTGGAACACGCACATTAGAAAAAAGCTTCTTCGAATGGGAATCGATCCTGTGACACATACGCCTCGACTCGATCTTCTTCATCTTTCGGCAATTCTGAACTCTTCCTCGCAAATGAATTTTTCAAGACTGGTTGGAATGCATAATCTTGTAAACCCTCAACTCCTTAGGTTAGCCAATCTTCTATCGTCCACCCAATTCCAGAACCAGAACCAGTATCTTATGCTACAAAACAATGCTCAAGACAATCAAATTTGCAGTAATTCCCAACTCCAAAATCATATGCCACCATTAGTGCAGCCTTGTCAACCCCAAAACCAAGATATTCCCACTTGTACAACGTTGGAAACTCCGAATGTTCCAATCTCGAACATCGATCAGTTCCGTACATCAGATGTCACCAACTTCAACCCACAAAATTGCCAACTAAATGACTGGCCAAACAATCAAATAGACGTAACTTCTTTCCCAGAAGATTATGTACCCTTATCAAACTATGGATATGATTGCGTATACGGGTCAGATCCTCCTCCTTCAGATACTTCAACTTTTCAATCCAACGGCAGCAGTAATTTCAGCTTTCGTTCAGTTTTGTCCAATATGTCAAGCCCTTCATCAAGTCCAACTCCGTTGCATTCTAATTCTATCAAATTGACCAGCAACAGTACTGAAGAAGAGAAAGAAAGCTATTGCAGTAATTTGTTGAAGTTTAATATTCAAGATATGCTGGATGTTAATGAATTCGTGTAAACTGATCAGAAACCATAGTGATCAGAGAGTTTTTTCTTTTTAAAAAAATCCCTCTGAGCTTTTATGGAATCTATGTTTATTGTAAAATTTATCTTTAAAGAATTTGTTGTAAATTTCTAAAGCTCGTCGTCGTCTTCCATTGAAATTGTTTACAATATTGAATTACAGTCACAAATTAATTTTTGGCAAGAATATTCAATTCAATTAAAATCATGTTATAGGCAGAGTAAGTTAAAATAATTAATTTCTTATTGCGTGTCTAATTGCTATTACAGTCAATTTGATTTCGATGGACAGACTCAAAAATAATTAATCAAACTCGGTCGAGCCTGTCGTACAAAGCTTGCCTAATGCGGTTTATCTGATTGGCGTGATTTGCAGACTACTGTGTTAGTTCAAGGGTTTACCCAGTGAGCACTAGAAGGGTATAACGGCTGTGGATCCCACGTCATATAAAAAATAATAATAATAATCAACAGTTCAATATATTTATATAATTAACAAAGTCGAATTAAGATTTTAATATTTTCAATCAATAAATATGGCATATAATATCAATAAACTTATGAATTTATGATAACTTCCACATATAGACATATAATATTAATTTTATGATAATTTTTCATTGAATAGGATTCTTGTCTGATTATTTCGAGTTAATCATATCTTTGTGATAATTAATAATAGTTTTTAATTAACTTGCCCAAATGACTATTAACCCAACTGGTTTCGTGGATCCCAACAGTCGACCACCGGGGGAAGCGCCGCCGACAGTGGCCGGAATTGTGGACGGTGACACGTGTAGCCGCTACCTGTATAATAACACAATTTTTCTTTTCACGGATAAATTAATTAAAGTACATTTTTATATTTGCTTGGCCATTTTGGCAGAGGCAGTGGTTGGACTGAAGAGAGACAAAAGGCGTTGGGGTCCATTTAGAAAAAGTTTATTGAAAATCATGGCGTGGTTCTTGTGCTAATTTCTAATTTTAATTGCTCTCCATGAAATTAATGAGGCCACGTGTCACGTCAGCAGAAGACACGTGGTATAAATAATAGGATGTGGTCCCACTTTAGGAGGCTGCTCGCGTCAGCGTTTGACCCGATTTGCAAGTTGGGCACCTTATGGAGTCGCCAATTATTAATTAATTTAAGAGTTTTGCTATGTGTTGATGTACAAAAACAAAACCCTTAACTCATCCTTTTGTTAACTGTGTATTGTTCATATGGATTAATAGCAGAAAATCTCGTAGAAACGTTTTCATTTGCGATATACTTTATATCTAATGGAAATCGCAGGAAATTCTTCTATTTCAAACCTTTCGTGTGAAAAATCCTTTGTCGTTAAAATCCGTCAAATTTGTTGTTAAAACCAATAAAAAAATGGCAAAATTAGTATGTTCAATTAAATAAATACTGTGATTTTACATTTAAATGAATATGTCATTTAATACATTTAGCCTCTGTTTGTTTTCCATTATTTACTCATTAAAATGAAAAATATGATCATTATCCATCACATTAAGTCAACATATTTGAAAATCTATCTCTCGTGTGGGATCCGTTACAGTTATATTTTTCATTCTCATTCTTATATTAATGTGGCTCAAACGGGGCATTAATTGTCACATTGATTGATATTTAACATCAATAAATTTATTATTATTATTATTATTTTTTGTGATCGTGGGTGTTCGGGCTAGCTTATTCGTACCTCAACTAATTTACGGGATCCTAAAATTTATAATCGGATACTCACCTCAATAGTTATGAAGAGATTTGAATTGATGATCATTGGAAAGTAAATTCAAAATCTGACCACTAAACTATTTTTCAAAGTTTTAACATTAGTAATGATTAATAGCATTAATCTCAAACAAAATAATCGCAGAGATACACGCGAGATTAGAGATCAGTCTAATCTGCAAGCTAAATTATTTCCATTTAACAAGTACAAAGTTTATCCTAATTGAGTCCCCGACAATCATCAAAGGCTAAAAGTCTCTTACCCCAAAACATTAAAAAACACAAATGATTGAATTGAACAAATAATAAATTATTGTAACCTCAAAAGTACAACTTTTTTCCGCCGTTATATCATTTTCTACGACTTTTATGAGCGTACAACAATCATTAAAATTTCGAAAACCAATAAGTAGTTACCATTTGTAAAACTGCAGCCTCAAATTCATCCAACCTAGTCAACTCCGCCTTAAAGTCAAACCTTATTACCCCTCTAGCCTCCATGTACGTCAGCCCTATGTCACAATTACGTGTGCTCAAGATACATACATTATACGTACAGCCTCTTTTTCTCTGTATACCAAATTTTTGTATATATCTTGAATTAATAGGCTAACGCGTCCATAAATTTGGACGGCAAAATGCTTACGGCCGGTATTTCACCAAACCGACCATGTCCAAAGGAAGAAGAAATCGTGTTTCCCTTTCTAGCATTTGTTTCTCTCTCTAGATATCTCTATCTTTGGTATGGGTCGACCCGCCCGGCCCGGCCCGGTTAGGCCAGAAGAAAGGGGCAATTGACAGTTTTGAATAAGGTTGTAAAAAAAAGTGGGTTTGTGTCTTTTGCCAAAATTGTCGTGTTTCTTACCTGATTTGCTCCTCTTGTCTTTCTTGTAAAGTACTTTATATGACAAGAGTACCACTAACGAGGAAATTGTGTTCAAATTAAGGAAGTTAGGGACAAAAGAAACCCGGAAAATGGGAAAACCTGTGTGTTTTTCTTCTTGTTTGTAGATTACAAATTGACTACTATATAATATTAAGATGTAAAATATTCAAGAAGGTATATTTACACTAAGTTATCGAGGGTTATCTCATTACTGAAAAAAGGCTTATTTATACTGATTGATGAGTGTAGTCTATGTGAATTGGGTATTTCCATGAGTCGTCCATCCCGAATTAGATCTTATTGGATTGGGAGTTCTCCTAGGAAACGAAAGAGTAATCTCGTTACTTTTTTCATGTTTATTAATCAAAGTTAAACACCACTATCTTAGTTGATATGTAGAGTTTTTCAAATAAAGCAACAATGTCTCACTATGGTCTCTCATACTTTAGCTAGTTTAACATTTGCATGAAATCGAACTAGAAACCACAATGTTACTAGTTCACCTCCGAGGACCAGACCGTTGACATGGAGCAATAGTCATTCTCTTTATAATTATCTTATTATAAACATAAAAAGTTGATACAAAATTTCTTCTTAATAGTTAAAACGTACGTAAATTATATTTTAGATTATGATTTTAACATGTCTTAAACAAAAACAATTTTTATTGTAGTCAATATCTTCCTTCGTCCTTCAAATTTATTTTTTTAGCAATATATTATTAATCTGTTGTCCTTGTTGGGACCATGGATGTTAAAGTTGGGCAAGACCCAAGAGGTGAAAATAATTCTACCCAGTTTCTAGTTTGGCTTGACAAATTGAACCTATTAACTCTCACATGTTATAAAATAAAAATAAATGCCAAAGTTGTACAAAAAATTATTCAGACAGGTTTTCTCTAGTTAAGGTGAAGTCTGTGAAGTACATATTTAGAAGCATCATGATCCCACTCTGAAAAATAAATTACTTTTATTTGTTTGGACGAAAAAACTTTGAATTTCTTTAAATTATTTCAAACTAATGGCCAAAGAAAATTGGAGATTGGATGACGATGAATTCTTTCGTGCCTTCAACTAGCGTTAAATACGACTTGAATTGCTTGATACCGAGTACCCTATCCTACATAATTTATCCTACAATTATAAAATGCTTGTATATAATTGACACATTTGTTTCATAGAATATGGTTTTAATTAATAATAAAGAAATCTCTTGCTTCAATAGTCATAAGGGGGACCAATCAAAGAGAGCGAAGTCTCACTGAAATTGCAATTGTTCCTAATGTCCAGAAATTAGTGTCATCAAGAAAAGGTTCCAACTTTTTTGGGTATTATCAAGAAAAAGTTGTCATTTGGAACTTTAAATAAGAATACACAAGTCATTTTTTCTTCTTGTTTGTAGATTACAAATTGACTACTATATAATATTAAGATGTAAAATATTCAAGGAGATATTCTTGCACAAAGTTATCGAGGGTTATCTCGTTACTGAAAAAATTGCTTATTTATACTGATTGATGAGCGTGTGAATTGGGTATTTCCATGAGTCGTCAATCCCGAATTAGATCTTATTGGATTAGGGAGTTCTCCTAGGAAACGAAAGAGTAATCTCGTTACTTTTTTCATGTTTATTAATCAGAGTTAAACACCACTATCTTAGTTGATATGTAGAGTTTTTCAAATAAAGTAACAATGTCTCACTATGGTCTCTGATACTTTAGCTAGATTAACATTTGCATAAGATCGAACTAGAAACCACAATGTTACTAGTTCACCTCCGAGGACTAGACCATTGACATGGAGTAATAGTCATTCTCTTTATAACTATCTTATTACAAACATAAAAAGTTAATACAGAATTTCTTCTTAATAGTTAAAACGTACGTAATTAATATTTTAGATTATGATTTTAACATGTCTTAAACAAAAACAATTGTTATTGGAGTCAATACGTTCCTTCGTCCTTCAAATTATTATTATTATTACTTTTTTTTTTTAACAATATATTATTAATCTGTTGTCCTTGTTGGGACCATGGATGTTAAAGTTGGGCAAAACCCAAGAGGTGAAAATAATTCTACCCAGTTTCTAGTTTGGCTTGACAAATTGAACCTATTAACTCTCACAGGTTATAAAATAAAAATAAAGGCCAAAGTTGTACAAAAAATTATTCAGACAGGTTTTCTCTAGTTAAGGTGAAGTCTGTGATGTACAGATTTTAGAAGCATCATGATCCCACTCTGATAATAAATTACTTTATTTATTTGGACGAAAAAAAAAAAAAGGATTGGATGACGATGAGTTCTTTCGTGCCTTCAACTAGTGCTAAATGCGACTTGAATTGCTTGATAATCGAGTACCGTACCCTACATAATTTATCCTACAACTATAAAATACTTGTATTTAATTGACACATTAGTTTCGTAGAATATGATTTTAATTAATAAAAAAAAAAATCTCTTGCTTCAATAGTCATAAGAGGGACCAATCAAAGAGAGCGAAGTCTCACTGTAATTGCATTTGTTCGTAATGTG